AAGGTTGATAAACTGTATTTCAACCTCGCGGATGCGCTTCTCTTGCTCACGCTTGGTGCGCTTTCTACCTGCAGTAAAGGCAGGATCGAAAACAAGCCGCCATCGCTGTTGATCTGCCAATAGTCGAAGAAGGATTCCACGAGCTTTTCCTTTTGTCAACCCGTCGGCCAACTGCTCAGTGCCTGCAACCCATCGAAGATGTGTGCCGGCGGAGATGGCCTGTTTGACGGAAAAGGTAAGCTCGTATCCAGCTCTGCTGCTCCGCAGTCCATGTAGCGACGAGCAGTTCCGAGTCATGGCATCAAAGATCCCCTTGGAACCATCACGAGGGCGCCCACCGTGTTGTCCTTCACCATCCGAGCTTGCTCACCACGGATAGGTGGGTGACCATGAGCCTCCAACCAAGCACATCGAACCAGGTAGGTCAAGTCTTCGACGATGGTGATGGTTTGTACTTCAGACCCGTTGGATCCCAGGACCTCACGAGGGGCTTTCGAAGATTTCCAAGATACGATGTTCATAGGAACAGCTTGTCCATCCAGGATCTCTCGAGGAGCGAGGCACGTGAGCACGCCTATTGTGCTCCCTTTGTTCGGGCGATTATTCTGGGCTGCGTCCGGCAATCAGGTCCTTCCAGTCTCTTCCGAAAGGATGGAAGATGAGCGTCTGCTCAGAGTTCCTCTTGACTTGCCGGACCAACTTGTTCACCCTCAGCAAGGTGTCCACCGTCGCGGTCGGAATCTCGCTGAGGAGGAGTCCAACCTCCGCCAGGTATTGTGGTGATACCTGGTGCGCCCGCCATGACACCGTACCCAAGGCACCGCGGATGTCACTGATCTCCTTCGGCGTGGTCTTGGACTTTGTCTGGGATGCCCGTGACGAACGGATCACAATCTCCTCAACCCATGTTTCCGTGTAGGACCTCTGATCAAGAAAGATGGTCCCGTCTTCTTTCTGGGTGAGGTTCGCGCCCGGAAACTCAAAGTTCTTCTGTTCCCATCTGCCCCATTCGAAAGAGCTCAGGTGCTCGGCCTTGGCTCGTTCAAAGGTCTCGTCGCCCTTGCGTCTTCCAATCAAGAAGTCATCTACATGGAACCCGGCGACACCACACAGCTCGCTGGCCTTGTTCACTAGGATGAAGAAACACTTGTCAAACTCCAAGGGCCGCCAGCCGGAATTCCGAAGTGTGGCAGTGACCGTATCATACCACGATTTCGGAGCACTGCAGAGTCCATAGAAGGCACGAGTCAACTTGAGCACTGTTGAGTCCTCCGTGCCATCGGCGCCATACGCTGCTGCAAGCTCTGCCGGGGCGTACACGAACAAGTCCTCCTTCTCCATATCCTGGAGGCTTTGAAGGAAGGCGCTCGACACATCAGCGCTCTCCAACATCCAAGAATTGTTGGCAACGATGCTCAGGATGAGCATCTTCCCAAGCTTGCTCAGCGTGGGAGAACTGGCCTGTGACTCCACCAACGTAGGAGACTGGTACCCCAAGACCACAAGTCTGGCCTTGGCCCGTCCATCCGACTTGAAAGTGAGGACCCAGCGCATCTTCATGATGCGACGGATGTCCAGCTTCTCCTTCTCCTTGGCCGCTAGAGCTCTCACAGCACAGTTCCGAATGACATTCGAGATCTCCTTTGCCATGGCACCGTCAAACTCCTTCTTCTTGTCGAGAGTCAGAGATGACCAACTCACCTCTCGACCTTTGTCCATCATCTTCTTCGACAACCAGAGCTCGGCATGTCTAGGCTTGTCCAGTAGCTTCTTGAAGTCGCTGAACAGACGTGTCGTCACCAGAGTCCTCGATGGGGATAGCCGTCGACGTCCTACGATCAAACACAAACTTGTTCCCACCGGCATCTTCATGTGGTAACCTATGTCCTCCAGGCAGTGACAACCAGGTACGGGACAACTACTCCAACGGCTGGACCTCGTGGTGTACCTGGTGGCGGTGTACCTGGGACCAGTGAACCTGGAACATCATTCTCTAAAGGACCCCAGGAGATTCCCGCTGAGATCGTGGTACAGCGGAATGATCTAACATCACTGCTGGACCCAGCCACAGGTCCATCTCGTTGTGACTCACTTCCAGCATCTCCTCGATGTGAGGAAGGGACCCCCGGTGGAGATTCCCGTTGAGATCGTGGTACAGCGG